ATTTGTTATATTTTATAACACATGTGCAGCTATAGAATAATTATACAATACTTACATAATTGCAAAATAATATACGGATAGTTACAGAAAATGTTACAAAGTATATATAGAGTTGTCTGGATTTCGATAAATAGCTATACTCCAAATAAAATCACTGATATCATATAACATTTTCATACCAGCAAGTACAAGAATGATTTTTTTTTTATTCTGGCAAAAAGAAATTATGCATAGATTTAAAAAGGATTTTAAAAATGGTATTTAGCTACAAGAAAATAAACTATTTCAGAAATATTATAATACTTTGTTAATAATAACAATAAAAAAAATTATATATAAATATTGTTGATATTGTTTTTGTTAGTTTCATTGTTCCTAGGACAAAAAAAATAAAAATGAACAAAAACATGCCTCCCACAAATGCATGTGTTTGTGTATGTTTTTAAACTGTCCCTTTGTGCGACCTTAGCAAAAATATCCAAGGAATGGAAACGTCCACTTACTTGCCATCCTATTTAACGGTCATTCAATTATACAAATTTTTAATCCAGTTTTCTCAGACCTTCAAAGTGAACAATGAAAACAATTTACAATTCTACATTCTAAAGTATATTTATGTGAATTCTGGCTACAAAATTCATTGTCTGTAATATCTGTAGGCCTAACACTGGTAGGATGTTTTATACACTGAATTAGTGTAGTTATTGGGCAATAAGGTGGGTATGGTATATTCGGTTAAACAAAAACAATATTTCATTTCATGAGTCCAAAGTAGAAAGATAAGTATTTTGACTATTATGAAGAAGAAATCAGATAAAGAAGATAAAATAAAAAAGGTGTATGTATAGAGGGCAGGCATATATATATGTGCTTTATATTACATAACATTTCAAATTTAAAATAAAATTTAAAAAAAATTAAATAATTATTTCAGAACACGCAACAATCCTAAACATGTTATTAGACATTTAAAATATGATCTTTACACAATAATAATAATAATAATAATAATAATAATAATAATAATAATAATAACAACAACAATACTGCATTTACATAGTGCCTAATGGATCACAGATCTCTAGGCACTTTACAAAACATGAAACATTTTATATTTAAAAATCTAAAATTGTAGCTTATTGCTCAGAATTTTTTAAGAAGTCAGAGGAACACAACTCAACACAGAAATAACATGGCTGAAAGGGCATCTGCTCAGAAAATGTACTGTTTAAAAGAGATCTTTGGGTTAAAATGGTGTGTAACTGGTAAAATACAGTTTACACTAATATAGTATGTCAATCATATTTTGACAAGATGACAGAAAGAAGTAGTGAATATCTGCAATAAAAATTATAATACACAAAGCAGAAATTATGCACGACTAATTTGGCCTTTTTTGTATCAGATACAAATATTCACCCCCCTCCCCTTTAATACTGACCTAGGGTTATGCTGTCTATGAGACATGAGGTATAACACTGTGGTTGGGCAGTATAATGTTTAGCTTCTTAAATATACAAATTTGTGTACTTGTTTTGATAATAAATATTTCTATTACTTTTGTACTAAATTGTTCCCAAGACCTATTTCTCAACATACGGTGGCGTAACAATAATTGTATCTACATACTTATAATGTATACATGTGTATATGGTCATTTATACAGATTATAAATTGTAAATAGGGTGAGTTGAGAGGTCAAATGGTAAGGCAGGGCGCTGCCAACTACAGCCTTTACGTAAGAGATGGTTTAAGACCCCTCTACAGCCTTTACACAAGAGATGGTTTAAGACCCCTTGTCCAGGGTATGAAATTTTTTTCCCTCGACGTCTCAGCCAAATCGATTGGAGGGGCTATAATTTTATATGAATATTTATTAGCTTGATGGCTATATAGATATGCATATAGACTGTAGATTTGTTGATATATAGCCCAGTACCAAGAGCAGACCACAGGAAGGAAGTAAATCAATTGTTAAATGCAAAAGATATATATCATCTATTAGTAAAGATAGATTGATTGATATAAGATAAACATGTAATACTGTATAGCTGACAAACTATATAGATGTATATAGACAGAAAGATTATTGGATGATGGGACATAAGAGCACTGATAGTGATTTATTACTTATTATCACAGGTGGGTGGTTGGCAGGTATTTTGTAATGGAAAGAACTCCAGATCGGTATCTAATTTTAATGGTGGAACTTTTGTGAAATTGCTAAATTGGTTTTAAGTATTAAGTGGGTAAAACACTCCTACAAAATCATTAAAAAAAAAATCACACTTTCACTTTTGATGAGTGTAAATCCAAGTACAGATGTTTGCTGAAATATGTATCAACGATTGTAAGTACAAAAAGCACATGTGTCAGTACAGATATACAAGGTGCGCGTATACACAAATTTACATACGAACACAACTTGTAACAACTGACACTTGTCAGAAGCAGCCACTCAATGTGTTCATTTAGATGCGACACTTTGGTCATCTTTCTCGATTAGATGCTCCTCTTCGTTGTCGTTGAGTATATGATTCTTTGATTGCATGAAATTTTTAAGCTGTTCTGGGTAATCGGTCATGATCCCGGAAGCGCCAAGTTTTAGCGCCCTCTCCCAGTCCTCTTCTTCATTCAATACCCACAAGTAAACCTAGAAAGAAAAATGGGATAATATTGAAGTGTTTTGATTTCATTGACTTGATTCTTAAAGATCTGACAAAGCAAGTAATGAGAGAAAGAGCGGCTGATAATTGTTATGGCTTCTTGCACTAAAGATCCCAGTTCACCTGAGCGATTGGCAGAGAGATATTTTCCTGCTTCTTGTGCTGAAAACCCTGGTTCAAACCTGGCCAGCATCAGGTTATAAATGGAGTCTGAACACTTGGCTCCTTGAATAACCCTCATATTGAGAGAGGCGGGTTATATGTTGCAGTAAGCTGGGTGGCGCTGCTCTGCGGCTGCCGTGGTTCGCCAGGGTCCCAGCCAAATTTACGATTTCTACTTTGAATGAGTGAGCCTATGAGTCATGCATTGCATGTTCAGAAGATATTTATTAATTTTTTTCTGTGTTATGTTATTTTCTCTTTATAATTTTTCATAACTTTTTGTGCCGTGTTCTTTTTATTTTTTATTTCTACCATTGTATACCTGAACATATGTATAGATGTTGGTACAGTGCACTTAATCAACATTCCTGTGTGCAGCTGATGGGGAATTATCTAAATTTCACTTGATGGTTATCACTTTGTAACATTTTTTTCTATTTTTCTTATGTATTGGCCTACAGTCATTTATTGTGATGGGCATTTACCAATGTCTTACTTCATGTCTGTGCATCGACATATTTGATAGGATTGTATATAAACTTATATGTTCAATATGAATGATAACTACTTCTTGCATCTTCCTTTTCATAATTCGTATATTGACCTAGATTATGTTAAAACAAATGAAATTTCTGGAATGCTATTCAATCCGTTGAGTGATTTTGCAAATGATAAATATGATGATACTTCGATATCTTGATTAATAACCTGAATTCATAGGCACCTATACTGGATGAATGCAAATATTTTGATTTAACATTTAATTCTAATTTTGATTCCTCTTTGAACAATAAATTATCCATGTTGCATTTAAATATCAGAAGTCTTACAAATTTATAAAGTTGATTCATTTCAAAGCCTTTTAAAATCAATTGATCTGAATCCCTCGAATATTGGAATTTCTGAAACTTGGATATAAGAAAATCTTTGTAATAGAATTTCATACCTCAATTCCTCTTTTCTTAAGATGTGAAAATAGAAACTTGCTCATAATTAGAAAGTCAACAACAATTATAAGCATTCGTTGGAATTTAGTAAGCTCTTCACCCCTGTAAGAAGAGACAAACAATATTAGCAAATAAGAAAACTATCATTACTACAGTAACACAGGAATTAATGGAAAATTAAAATGTACAAGATTAAAATGAAATAAGTACTTAAAAAAAACGACATGCCCTGAGCTCAATTGAAAAGACTGGTTTGAAGGCATGCCTTTAACTGTCTAGGGGCGGATCCAGGATTTGAAAGAGGAGGGTTCATTTTCCCATAAACCCCAAAACGAAAATCCTCCCCCGGGAAAATCTTGATTCCTAAATGGCCAGAAATGAGCTTTCACGACTTCTGAGGTGTCTTTTAATGACCTTTAATTTCTTCAAAATTCAAGGTTTACCTCTTAAAAAAAAGGTCAGGTGATTTTATCTCATTCTTAGGCCTATACCATAGAAAATAAATCAAAAATAAAGTCAATATATTATTAGGCCTATATCATACCAAGTCTGATGCATCCGGCGTGAACCTCACGCTTTTCGAACAAACCTCAAGCTCTCAAGCCTCTCCTCTAAAATCTCACACTTTTCCAATGATCTCAAGCTTTATTTGATTAAACCCAAACTTTTTATCGAAATACTATAAACCTTCGTAATTCTATATTATATCAGGCCCATATCATCGAAAACTCTATTGTTCCTGTTTTTGTTTTAAGGTTTAATATCAGCACTAGAAATATTCAGAGTGCACCAGAGAGCATCTAAGCCCAAAATTTTTTTGGGCCCTTGGACAGGCCCTCGACTCACGTCAATTGGGTTTATTTTCTGTTAAATCTCAAGCCTCTAGCTGCTGTACCTCCAACTTGGCATGTATTCTATATTCCAACATTATTGAGTAGTTGGATACTTTCTTCCATAGATCAATGAAATGATAGGCATGAAGAACACACTTTTTATACATAAATTATTACGACGTCGTGCCACAACAGTGTTTTTAATGGTATTTAATTGAATGCTACAGTAGTTGAGCTAAGCCTATTTTGTCCGATCTGCCAACCTATGCCTAGGTAGGTTACATAGTTACCAACCTGAAATAATTGAAATGCGTGATTAGAAACGTGGGCCGGCGGCCAGCAGAGCCCCTGCTAGGGTCCAGGGTTGGGGCCCCGGTGGGGGTTCTGGGGGGCCCCAACCCTCTGGGCGTTCTGACAATCTGAGCATTTTTAAGCTGTTTTTAGGGAGTGTTTATTGACAATATCAGGTACATAAACAAAAATGTTTTTAAAGCCATGTACAATTCGAGTTTCAATGTATGTTTAATTTGAGCACCCGAACTATGTACACAAACATTCATCACTCAAACAAACAAAAAAATGAATGAAAAAAGTGAACCTTCCCTAACATTCGACACTCTTTCTACCCCTCCTGTTATACTCCTACACCCCTGATTCTTAATTAATTTGTTTAAAGGGCCAACATTTATTTTAAGTTGGGCTCAAAGGCCAAAAGATAATATCTGAGTACCGGTAATTAAGCAAGTCTTTATAATGTTTTTGATAATTTCGAATTCTACTTTTTGTTACAATATTTGGTAACAAATTCTGTAACTTTAAGCAAAGAATACATACATAATTATCAATATTCTGTTCACATCCTAGTTGGTTAAAACAATAAGAAATTGCTTTCGGTGTATAATAAACGTTAGTAACATAACCATTAAAAATATATATAATATGCATACATTATAAAACATAAATTGACCTAATTTTCTGATAGATAAACAAATTAAATAACATTAATTAAATGAAATATATTTAATGATATAGGCGTATTTGCTACCATAACCGTAACACATAATTTGAAATATAAGTAGGCATATCGTAGAAGAGAATCACTAATGGGCATTGACCTCAAAAGTACTGTAGAAGTACAGAAAAAATACTTCCGCTACTTGCTTGAGTGTTTTTTGTGGATGCAGAAAAATATGGGCATATAGAACTACTAGAAAATAGGCGTGACATCGAAATTCCAAAAGAGGAAACATGTTATAATATCCTGTTTTCTTTCCTCTATTTCTTATGTAAAACTGGATTTAAACTTTTAAAAGGTTTCTACAATGTTGCGAATGCATCAATAGTCAATTAGTCAATTGATTGAATAACACTTTTGTATCATCGGCACACCTTTTTAGTGTAACCTTACAACGACTAGACAATAATTAATTGATATAGAGAAAACACAAAATAAAAAAAAAAAAGAAAAATAATGTTCTCCCTCTTATAAAGTATTATGAAAATAAGTTGATGGGGGGGGGGGGGGGGGGGAAGAAGAAAAAAAAAAAAGGGGGGGGGGGGGGGGATAATAGCTTGGGGAATAACTCTCTAGGTAGAAAACAATTCGTGGGGAAAATTAGCAGGTGGCAAGTAGCCACTGTAATAGTGCTATATTCTGTAAAGTAAAGCCTCAAACCACCTCGATTTTGAATCTACTAAATTTTAAAATCTTCCCAGACTTTTCCAGATATAGCTACAGTAGAACTAACTTAATTTTTGGTGTTTTTTGATAGCAGATTATTTTTTTTAGATTTTAGTGGGTTAACCTGACTGAAAGACAAGCTTGTGTACAAACCAACAAGCACATTCATCTTCTATACAATAGGAGCCATGTTCACATGCATGATCTTTTTATAATTAAAAATCAAAATTTAAAAGACATTTTGAAAACAAGGAAAAAAAAAAAAAAAAAAAAACAATTTCTCCCATATTACAGAAACTTCTTTTTGGATGAAGTTGAAACTAATACAAAAACAAATTCTTTTGTATTTAAAATAATTTTTTAAAATTAATTAAGAAACAGAAAATTCAAGATTAAATACATTAAAAATAACAAGCTTCTGTTCTTCTGACTTTTGGTAGTTAATATATATATATATATATATATATAGATTAAAAGGCAAAATACTGGAAAACAACAATGCTGTGGGAAACAATGGCTGGATCTCAGTAGAGATACAAAAATGATAAGCAACAGCTAAAGAGTAAACGTAAGTAAACAGCCAGAAATAGAACCAGAGCTTTCGGACAACACTAGTCCTTCCTCAGTGGCGAGTATATATATATATATATATATATATATATATATAATATATTTTTTAGGAATTTCATTGTTGTCTTCATTTATAATGAGAAAATTATTTATCAAAATATTTAATTTAATTTGTTTTTATTTTTGGATAGCTTCATGGGTCTAATTTAAATCTAAATGGGCCTAACACCTATTAGGAACCATGGTCCTACACATAGGAGGTCAGCCTTACCCACCATAACCAGAACCAGTTAACCATACCAATCAATTTTTAGTAACGCGTCAGTTAATTAAGTATTCACGTAAATACTGTACTTACATGACTGTGTGCATGTTTGATGTTAACAACTGCACATAATCAACATTAGTTGTGACAATGAATGCGCAAGACAGCATGCGCCGCCAAAGCTTTCGGTGAATTGAATCTCAAACGAGATAACGAAAGCTCTCTAATGACTCAAGTTACTGCTTGATTGTTTTATATTTTTAATAAAACTAATTTCTTCTAATTTTAAATATATTTTCCCTGAACTCGTGATTATTCGTCGTCATGCGTAGACTAAATGCGTGACAAATTTAAGATCACGCATGTGTTTCTGCCAAATGCTTGTTACATCCAAAATCACTTTGAAATGCGGGACCGTCCCGCACGATGCAAGATGGTTGGTAATGCCTTTTGTAAGCCAGGAACCAATAGTATTTTGTTACGTTTCTTCACAGGGGGGTTTGTCTGAACCCCTTGAACCTCCCCCCCCCCCCTGGCCCCTGGATCCACCACTGACTGTCTAACAGAGTTAAATTTCTTAATTGAAGGAGGCAGAAGATTCCATAATTGAGCTGCTGTAGAGTCTTCGCCGATACGCTTTTACGGATCATTGGCTCGACAAGGCGTATGGTAGAGGGCGATCCAGATGTACACTGAGCATATGCCCGAAAGAAATTTGCAGACTATAAGAAGTAGTTTGAATTTGATTTTTTGCTGGACTAGTAAATAATGGAGTTATAAATGAGGGGAGACATGGGAATACAAGCTTTACAAGAAAAAATATGTATGAAGCAAAAGCTTTGGACAATTAAAATGTTGAATGCATTTCTTCTTGTTAATTTCCATTTACCTTGTGAAATTAACATGAACAGTTTGTGTCTACTCAAGAACACAAAATAGTGTTACGAAAAGCTAGAGTACGATGTTCAAAAAAATAATATGATTTTTCTAGTGTTAGGTGTTGCTGCTGCTTACATCAGCTCAGGAGCAGGCAACCCCACCAGCTACCCAATTTAGATTCCTGGGTGAAGAGAAGCAACGCAGATAAAGTGCCTTGATCAAGGACACAAGCAAAATGCACAGCAAGGGATTGAAACCCCGACAAACCGCAAATAACTACAAAAAAATAATACAGGACTATATAAATGGTATATTACATACAATCTGATTCCACCTTGCATAAGAATGAAAAATATAATAAAAAAAATAATTATACTTTACCAGTACTTTGTAAATATACTTGGCATAGGTATTTCTAAAAACTGCTCTTTAATTGGACAAAATGGAAGGAGGCCTAAGTAGAACTGTAGCACTACCCTTGTCACTCCCCAGACGCTGAAACAAAGGGGAATCTTAGGGTTCTCTTTGTAGCATTTTTTGGCAATACTCTCTCTAAAGTTTCCCCATACTGTGATTTCTTCTCTATCAAAGTCCTTAACCATACTTGAAACCTGCAATGATAAACAATAATTGATTTGGTTTATTTGGACTACTGTAGCAATGTTGCTGTTGCTGCTACTGCTATGGTCATCCAAGGGTTCCTTGGCCTGAAGAAAGCAACCGTAATAATTTCTGAAACTGTTGCTAAGGCATGAAAAACAAAATAGATGTGTTCCTATTTTACTCTATGGAATCAGATGAAACTCTTTGTGAAGCTTTTCCACTGTTGCGGGAAAGCTAAAGTTAAGAACATGGGGTAGAATGGCAAAAAGAATTTAGATTTTGATTTAAATTTAATCAGCAGGATCAAGACAAAATCAAATTTAGTACCTTCGAAATGAACTCATCATCATCACGCTTTATATCAATGTTGATAGGAACTCCCGGGTACGTCTTTAGTACATCGTACAAAAGAGGGATACCACGGTCCTCGGACTCTGACCTGCATATTTCACCTGGACATAAATAAAAAAATGAAAATAAGAGTTAAGTTGAAAAAATATGATGATTAATATCTACCTTCATTGCAATTTTTAATTTATTTTATTAATTGTTTAAAGCCCAAGGATATGCCAATCAGTGAACTTAAATCACTTTTATAAGTGGCCTATCCCATACAGAAGACAAACATAAACACACGATGCTCTACATAGACTAAGTCCCATTTTGACGGTTAGGGAATGGAGTTGTTTCTGGTCGTGGGAAAAATTCCTTTGACAGGAACTGACACAGGAGCCTGGGACTGGATAATAACAATAATACATTTCTAATGTTTATTTTTAGAAAGTTTGATGATTAAAAAAACAGTTTTTATGATATTTAACGATCATGTTGGTGGTGGTGTTGGCGGTGTTGGCAACAGCGTTGATGGCAAGTGGTGGTGGTGATGATAATGATAATGAATATAGTGATGATATTCAATCAATCAATCAATCAATCAATCGAAATAACTTGTATAGCGTCAAATTCCATCACATGATGTAATGTTCTATGGCGCTGAAAACGTGTATAATTTTAAAGTGCACAAAACTGTTAATGCATTTATCTTCAATAATAATAATAATTGTAGTATCAGCATTGCTGTTATTGAGATTGAAATGCTTTACAGAAAAGATTTTAGTTTCTTTTTGAAAATGGCAACATTTATGGCAGTTTTAATGTGAAAAGGAAGCGTGTTCCATAAAACAGAAGCTACACATGAAAGTGATCGTCTGCCATATGTATGGATTTTCACATGAAGTAGATGTTGTTTAGAAGATCTCGGGTTACGAGAAGTCATTTAATGATAATGAATATGGTGATACAGATACACTTTATTGTCATTCACAGTGCGATTAAGACCAATCCATGACAGCTGCAGTTCAGTGATAATAAAGATAAAGATAAAAATAAACATAATTGCAATTCATGACATTTCCAACTTTGTTATGTACAGTACAATCAAGTTTTTCAATTTCATATTCTCTTAGATTTTAATTACTATTCTTTCCAATTGCTTTTCTTGATATTTCAAACTTTGTATGTGTAATAATTTTTCAAACTTTTTAAACATTTTATAAGTTTTCCAATTTTAATATTTTCTTAAATGTTTATATAGTATTTATTCTCTAACAAAATCAGAAATAACATAACAATAAATATTTAAAGGTTATCAATAATGTTTTTGTATTTCTATTTTTATTAAAATGTATATACCCATGATAATGATGATAATGAATATGGTGATGATGATGATGATGATGATATTGATAATGACAACATTGTAGGTGATGGTAGTAGAAAAATATACATTTAAAAGTAGAACCTTATTATAATAAAATAACTAGCAATTACCTTTGGACATTTGAATTTTCAAAGAACTATTGAGTTTTGGTAGATCCTGAAATAGAAACATAAAATACATTAAATATAAGTAATTTTGATAATTGCTCCTGCCCCCTCATTTTTACTTGATATGTGATACTATAAATGTCTTTGGGTAAACAATATAGTATTTGAATAGGGCCACAACCTTTAATTGATTGATGATGGTTTAATAAATACAAGCTCAAATGTATTACATGCTAAATTGCTTCTTGCCATGCCATCTGGACCTAG